TTGTATTGACTATGTTAAAGCAGCTTTTAAAAATTTACTTACAGAATGGGCTAACGTATAATATTATAATAATTATATATAGGATTTAAATTAATTAATTGATTCAAATATTACATTAGTATTAGTGTTGTTAATTGTAATGCAATTATTTTAATTAATTGTATTTCTGGCAATTGCTGAGATGTACTTGGTAAACCAACTTAATAAGACATTTTCTTTTTATCGATTAGTTTATAAATCTTATATGCCAAATGATATAATTTAAAAAGAGAAAATAATAAGAGCCTAATTAATACGTTACAATATAATTAAGAAATGACTTTATATAATATAATTAGTTTAATTCAATTTATTATTATTAGAATTTAAATGTAAAAAGGATAAACTCTAAATTCTAAAAAGATATTTAATTCTTGAAAGAATATTTCTAATTAGTTATAAAAATATTTTATCTATTTCAATAATAATAATTTTAATTATAACTTAATTATTAATTTAGTCAATCTAATAAGAAAAAGTTTTATAAATATTAATTGGCATTTATATATATCTTATTTATTATAAGATTTTCATTTTGGGGCTTATTTAATTAATTCATTTAATGGTATATTTTTCTTATTGACTATCATTTATAAAACTCCATCTTTATTTCTATTTTTAAAGAAGGGCAATTCAAGAGCTTGTTCAGCTGTCAATCTAGTTTTAGAATTCTTGTCTAAAACTTTTTCAATAAATTCTTAAAATTATTTAGAGAATTTATTTGGCAATCGTGGTGGATCATTAGCTGTAATTGAATACATAGCTTTTAATGGAGGAACTCTTAAATAAGGTGGTTCACCTTAAGCCAATTCTATTGCAATTATTCCCACACTCCATATATCTACCTTTTCATCATAATCTTATTTCAATATTAATTCAGGTGACATCCAAGCAGGTGTACCTACTACAGATTTTCTATGTTGTCTCTCTGCTGTTAATTATGTTGCAAATCCAAAATCAGCAATCTTAATTTCACCTTTCTTATTCATAAGAATATTGTCACTCTTCAAATCTCTATGTATCTTTTTCTTTTTATGCATATAGTTAAGTCCTGATAAGATCTCACCACATATATATGCAATTTCAGGTTCTTTCATAGATTTAAAATTCTAATAGATAATTTCCGTCAAACATCCACCATCCAAATATTCTACTACCATGAATAAACATTATTGATATATGTATGAATCATAATATTTTACAATATTTTGATTTGCACACATTTTCATCAATGCTATTTCCACTTTAATTCTTTACATATCATTCCCTATTTTCATCACTCTTACTGCTACTTCTTCATTTGTATTTCTATGTATTGCCTTATAGACTTTACACATTGCTCCCTTTCCCAATTGTTCAGTAAATTTATACAATAAAGAAGGATCTTATTCTATGAATTTTATATCCATCACTTATTTAATAAATTCATCATTTGTTGGTAATGTTAATTTTGTTTGTCTATAAACACCTTCTTCATAATTTGAAATGATTTAAATCATAACCTATGGGTTTTATTCAATATCTGCTTTCTATAGATCAGCCTTCTTTAGCTTTTCTATCCATTCAGGTGGAAGACCCTTCAAACCTAATTATGCTGTTGGATCTATTTCAATATGAATTTTATGTTATAAATTAAAAGGTGCACTCATTATAGGTTCATTGATTAAATCAAGAATTGCTTCTGGAAGTTCTGAGGGTTAGACTGAAGCAGGTAAATACTTTGTCTCTACTGTTTTATTTTGATCTGAAATTAATTATGTGGGATTCAACCTATTTCAAGTTTGAGACCATTCAATTCAGCCCATTCTTTTGGAACACCTAACAATTTTCCAGTTATTGGATCTCTTGTAATTTGAATATGACTTTAGAAATTTGAAATTTGACCATCAGGAGCATGTTAATTCTTTTCTTTAGAACTTTTTTATCCCATATAATTCTATATGTTTATTAAAAATATAATATTTAATATATATATAATTATTCATAATTATTAATAGAAAATTTTATCATTTCTATAGTTATTGTTCAAATTGCTCAAGAAGTTTTTAAAAAATACAAAAATGACATTCTTTATTTGAAAATGTCACATTCTTCACATAATTAAAGTTATCCCACCTTTAAATTGAATTAGCTTTATAAAGCAAACAAAATGCTATTTTTTAACTTAGAATATAATAAGATGAATAAATAATAGACTAAAATTTCTTTAGTATTTGAAATACGAATAGTCTTTGCTCATCTACATTTTATGTAAATCACAATTATAATCTAAAATCTATCTATACTTAAAATGGATGGGATCTGGTTCTAAAAATAAATATAAAAGTATTACTATTAATGGATTTTCAAGTTCCAGTATTTAGATTTCATAGAACATTAAAAATTGAACAATTAGTTAAACTTATTTTATAAATTTTTAGAAGTTTTTATTTCAATATGGATATCACAATAATTACAAGTTATCTGATAGTAATATTGGATGTTAAAATTTCGATTAAATCAATATTGCGGATAAAGGTGTATCTATGAATAAATAATTACCTTGATTAGATAGTATAAAAATTTGTTAAGAAAATAATAATGTTTAAAAAGGGATAATAAATTTTAGTAATATTGATAAAAAAGGATACAAATAAATAGTAAAAGATATACAAATAAATTTATTGTATTATATAGTTTAGATTATATGTGTATTAATCTTTATGATATATATATAATAGTAAGAAAAATATATTTAAGATAGGTATAATAGTAGGTAAATGATAGTAAAATCTATTTAGTAATTGATATGTATGAAAATTTGTAAATGAAATTGATAAATACAGAATTATGATGAATGATTATTATTATGTCTAAATTTTATTTTTCAATATTAAAAAATATTGAGTCACAATTTAAAATCAATCTCAGTCAAATCAATCAATATATAAATTCATATAACTTAGATGGATATCAAAAATACAAGAATGTAACACACTTATGCATTGGAGATATATAAAATACAATTAATAATAATTCCTAATTTTAATTTGAGGTTGTATAACACATTTTGATTATTTCAAAAATCAAACCTAATTTACCCTATTAATCAATGATTTTAGATATGATTATTCATGCATCAAAACTATCTTAATCAGATATTGTTTAAGAAATCATCTAAAATTATCAATTTAATTAATAAGGTTAAATTCATTTGCTTGATGTTATAAGTAATTGCAATTAAACAATACAAAAGTTGTTACTTAATAATTTAAGTTCAATTTAAGAATTAAGAAATGTTTAAGATGTTGATTAAATATTTAAAATACTTGCAAATTTAATAAAATTAAATAAATCAAATTTATTGACAGAAGAGAGTGTTGCTAATTTTTCAGATCTCCAATATGATTTTTGGTTGAAAAATACTGAGAATAATGATAATTAAATACAAAAAGAGGATGTAATTAAAATTATGATTAAAGAATTAAAAGATAAAGTAGAATGGTAAATAAAAAAAGGATAAAAAGTTTCATCTAATATACTTATATAATACATTTAACAATTTAAATATACTACTGAAATAACTTTTGATGATATAAGAAATTAAAATTATTCAAAAAAAGAAGAAATGATTCTCTTCAATCTCTTAAAATCATAAGAACAATTTGATATCATCAAAACAATTAATTATATCAAATAAAATCACTCTTAATATAATCTATAATATGTTTATAAATTCTTGAATAATTAATAAACTGTAGACTTAAAACTTTTATAAATTGTTGAAGATAATATTTAAAATGAACGTGTAAGAATATAAAATCTATTATAATTTTATTCAACTATTCCAGTTGAACCATCTTGGAAAATTGCATAGATATTAAGAAATATTTTAATTAAAGAATGGGATAAAATGACAATCTCATAATAATTGACAATTGTAGGATAATTATTTAGAATAGAGAGATTGATTTAAAAACCTGAACCTATTGGTAAATTCTTTATACTTGATACTATTTTAATAAGTAAAATAGAATAAATGATTTTATAACTCAGATTTCAAGATTTAAGTTAATTAGACAGACTTAAAGTATACTTTTTAATGAATTCTTATTTTGGCAAAGATTTATTATCTAGTAAGTAAAATTTATTTAATTTTAGGCTATTTCAATACTCAATATGCTCTTTATATTTAAGCATATTTGAGAAATCAATTTCAAACTTAACCTAGACATTAAAGTAAATTACAAAAGGAAGTTGAAGAAAGTCTAATAAAAAATAATGTATTTTATGAAAGAGAAACATTGGTTGAGAATTGTTTTGCTGTAGATTTTAAATTAAAGAACACAATAATTGAAGTTAATGGTCCATATCATTATTGTTCAATAATAGGAGATATATTACCTAATGATGCTCTTTAATATATAAGTACTAATTAAGCTATGTATGAAACATTAAAAACAAGTTTAAAAGTATTGATTAAATTTAAATTATAATAATAGACAAGACTTTTGACAAAAAAAGGGTATAGAGTTATAAATATTCCTTATTTTAAATGGGATGGATGGTGTATTAGTAATAAATAAGATAAAATATTGAATGATATGTTAGAAGGTATATCATTGAAGGATAGTGAATTGTTGAGTAAAATTTGAGTTATTTTTATATATTTATTAAAATTGTAAAGAAAATGTGTGATGCAATAAATGAAAAAGATGAAAGATATAAATATGCTTCTGAATTAATGGATAAAGATGGATGTAAATAAGTTAATTTAGAATTGACTTAATGTCTAAAATAATATAAGAAAGATTGGAGAATGTGTAAAGTAGAACATATAAATATATATTGATAGGATCAAACTACAAATTTATAGAAATGTCTTATTGAATAAAAGAACCAGAGACCTAAATGATTTGATATATTTTTAACAACAATTAATATTTAATAATATGAGTATATATATATATATATATATATGATCATTATTTTATTAACTTATATACTCTACGAATCTTAGATATTACAAAACATTTAATGGAATAAGGTGATACAAATGGTTTTTTATATTTTTTATGAATACCAATTTAATAAGTTTGTTATCTAATGATGACTTAATCATAATTGTTATGTGGATAGTAGATCTAATAATTTTTCATTTTTTCAAATTTGTTAAAAATGGCATCATTTATAAAATATCCTTGATTCTAAAATTTCATTTACAATTACATCAGGAGAAGTAATAGCTTAGAATTATGATTACTAAACTAAATTACTTTACTTTGTTCCAGTTCTTTAACTCTTTTATTTATATTTATTTTCATCTGATTAAGTATTTGCACTATTTGTCTTTTTACCATTATCTTTTGTTTGACTTGATAATTTCAATGATTTATTTTATCTAGAATTTGAAGATGGATAATTTGAGATATCTTTAGAATATGAATTTGTATATGTATGAGATCTATTAGTTGGTTATCTTAAAGATTATTTCATATTTCCATAAGAGAACTATTATTAAATAAAATCTTATTTAATTATTTCCTATTTTGTCTAAGATGCAATTTCTTTTTAAAATTGAAATGTCAATTTATTAGGACCACTCCTATTATTAGAAGATAAAAATAATTATTTTTAATTAACTAAATCGTTTTTCTATCCTTCTTGCAATTAAAATAGAATTTCTTTCTCATCTTTATCTAAAGTTGAATAATTTTAACTTTATGGATTTCCAACAAATCCAGCAGTTCGATGAGATGTTTTATTTGAATTTTGACGTCCTCTTTTAATTGATGAATCCAATATAGGTGGATGTATATCTTCATATTATTCTTATTCATAATTTAATTATTCTAAACTATCAACATTTACATTACTATTGGAAACTTGTTAATCTTAACTAGCCTTTTGATATGCCATAGAATTGCTAACATAACTTACAGAATAAGTTTAATCTAATTACATCTAGAGATATACTTTCAGAATATGGTAATTATGATGCTTCAGGAAGTTCTTCTGACATTATATCTTAACTTTATTTATTAATAACTAATTTAGCTTTATCTTAATTTTATATGAGATTTTTCAAAGTTAAATATTTTTTATTTTTTCTTGTATATGTTTGACGAACCTATTTAATACTGTATAAATATTTTTCAATAACATTTTATCTTTATGGGAAATATTAAATATGATTACACTCTAAAATATAATGACCTTTAATTTTGCAATAATAACAGTCAAATAAATGTTAATTATAACATGAATTGTCTTTCATCATACAAAATATCTCATTATCTTATGGAAAATTTGAAATTATATCCATAAATTCTGATCTCTTTAGTTTCATTAAAGTTGTGACTCCACAACTATATATACTTATATTTGAAGGTATTCCAGAAATAAAAGAGTATTATCCAAATGCTTAACCTTCCTTTAAACGAGTGACTGATCTTTTATTATTGGCAAGAGATGATCCTTAAAATTATACCTTTACTTCTCCTTTAAGAATGTAATACAATCCCAAATCCTCAATTTAATGTTCCTTATAATATTCTTTAATTATATTTACTATTATTATATTATCTTCTGGATTAAAAGTCACTTATTCAATTGCATACAACAATTACTATTTAAATTAAGGTGAGAATCTATTCATTAATTCTATTTTATCAATCATTCTTGTTCTCAAAGATATTTCAATTTCATCCTATAATGCAGGACTTAACTTTTTAGTTAATTGATCTTTTGATCTACCTAGATCTTCCTATATATTTATATAATATTATTGATTGTTACATCAATTCTAAAATCTAAATATGAATAACATCTTCTTAATAAATCTTAATCTCTACATTTCTCTTTAAATAATTCTACAAATCCTTTCAATAATTTTTGTTTCTCTTCTTGAATCTCTATACCTGGTTTGATCCAAACAAATAATAATATGAATGTGTATGCATAACATAAATATGAGATCAACATAAAGACTGAAATTATTAATGAATTTTATTCAGTAATCTCCATAGCTCAAATTACTTTATCATTTAATACATAAATTTGAATTTTAAGTAATCAATGATATCGAATACGTTATATAATATCTAAGAGTATATTCCTCTTCATTAAACACTCTTAATAAATTTATAAATATACTTTTCAAAAAACATGTACACATAACTATGATTGATATCCATAATTATATTATGAATATTATATAATGAGTAGATCTGTAAATATTTTCAAAAGGTTCTAAAGTTCTAATCAAATCTGAAATTATTAATAATAATATTAATATCATTAGAGTCATTTCATTATCAAATTTAAAAAATATAATTGCTATTGTAGATATAGTTCGAAATGAGTCTAAATATATTTTATTTTAATCCTTAAAATTAGTAATCAACTTTCCTCTAAATAATTTATATGGACCTCTTTAAAAATATACATCCTATAAAAGTGTCCACATTTTAATACCAAAAGCTATTTAATATATAATTTCTGGTCCATTGAAAACAATTGTAATTGGTATAAATATAAGGGTTATTAAATTTGAAATTATTACAGAGAAAAATACATACATTGTAAAATAATAATATCTCAAAGGAGATACTAAAATTATATAAAATATAATACCATTATCTTATTCTTATGTTACAAGTGGATCATTATATTTTGAATAATGAATTGAATTCAATAACTTTTATTTTATCTAATTTACTATGATCTTAACTCTCCCTTAATCAATTGTTAGTTTCTATTTATGATCTGATAACAATTGAGATTATATTTGAGACGAAGAATAAATAAGTGAACTATCATTATGAATTAAAACTAATTTCTTTGAATCAGATTTTTATTGTAATTTCTCAGAACTCTTATGAGAAGCTATATTTGTTATTGTGGGGACCTTTTAATCTTCACTACTCTAAAGGTCTATCGGTTGTTAAGGACAAGTCTATAAAAAGACTGGCTTCAAATAACAAATCTATGATAAAGAGGAGTGTTCTTCCTCCTCCTAAATTGATTCACTATTCTTATATTATAAAGTCTAGCTAATTCTATGCGATGGATTATAATCAACAACTTCTTAGTCTTTTACTTATTTGAGTAACTATTTTCTAATTAACATTTAATAAAATTAGTGCCCCATGTAATAACTATAACTCAATATTTATTTATAGCCTACTCTTAAATCCAATTAACAGTAATTTCAACAATTCAGAAATAATCTTAAAATACACTTCAAAGATCAGTATCAATTACTCAAAGAGAATACTTATAATATTAGAGAAATAGACCTTTTTATAAAAAATAAAGATAATCGATAAGTATTTAAAAAATAGCATTAATAAAATTCCTGATTGCCAAAGTCATTTATAAATGCATATACTCAACTTTAAAATGTTGATAATATAAAAATACAATTTTTTACTTAATTAATTATAAATTACTTAATAAACATATTATAATTGAATCACAATTATAAAGTAAATATAGTCAATCATTAGATAAAAATGAATGTGATTATTAAAAAACTAGTAGATCCCATAAATTATATAAAACACTTTTATAGAAAATGTTGATTAATAAATATAATTTAATATTGAAATACAATCACACTAAGAAACCTTCAATATCTTGCATTAACATTTATTCTGATTGATACATTTTTCTCTTTTTTTATATTATTACTTCATCATCACTATTAAAATTAGATGTTGGAAAATTTTTAAAACATTTTTATATTTTGAATTCTTTATTATCAATATCCTTTAATTTATCAAATCTAATTTTTTTTTACATTTTGATATTTTTTGTTCCTGGAGGTCTACCAAGTTTCCTTCTTAAAGAGGATTCAGTTACTACTTATGATTTTATGTTTTATATTTTTTCCAACAATGTATTTTTAAGATTTTCTTAATCAAATTTTACATTGACTTATTCTTTATTTTAAAATGATATTAGATTTTTTAATAATTTTGATATTTTTTGATATTATCCTAAATAATTAGTAATCTAATCTTTTGGATATTATAAATAAGCTTGAATATTAGATATTGTGTCTTATTCAAAAATTCTCTTTTCAACATCATTTTTAATTATAGATTGATATTCTTCAATTATTTCTAACATTTAAATAACAATTTCCCATTAATCAAAATCCTATTTTTATAATTATTAATTATAAAAGGTTCTTGAATAAACTTTTGATTAGGCTATAGTTTAAAAATTATAATGAACTGATGATAAAAAGAGAATAAAAATCTAATTTTCTTAACATTCTATAACAAATTCTTTAGTTATATTTAATATATTTAAACTATTAGGATCTTTAAGATTTAAGTATGATATTATTGGAGGAAATGGAAATCTATTTTTTATCATTTCACTTAATACTTTATTTATAGTTAATAAAGATTCTACTAATTGTTAAGAATTTAATTCTTTCCTTTCATGACTTTTAAAAAAGTATTTTTTTATAAATTATGGAATTCCTATTTAATCTAATTTTATTAATGGTTATTCAACACTATTACAAAATTAAATAATTTTATTAAGTATCTAATAAAATTAATCAGCATAATCAATTTATAAATGAAACTTTTTTAAATCAGAATGTAATTATTTAAATTATTGTTATTCAATTACATCCTTCAATTCATTAATTAAATAATGTTTCTATTAATAAATCAAATCTAAATTCTATTAGAATAAAGTAAAATTATTCTCTTTCAATACATCTTCATATTCTATAAATATTTTATCTCTGTAACATTACATTTCAGTTAATTTAAGTGTATCATTATTTATTAATTAATCTATATTTAAAAGATAATTCAAATGAGATAGTTATCTTTTTGAATAAAGTTCTTTGAATATTTCTTTAAAGATAGAAAATTCTAAACAAAATAATTATTAATTTTTATTCATATACAATCTTGTACAAAGTAATAATGATAATAAGGGAATTTTATTTCTTATTGCCATTCCTATAATAATTATTTAAGCTTTAAAATATATGTAATATTTATAGTCTTCTGTAATATAATTTATTTTTGGGGTTTTTTATATCAAATTCTAAATATAATCTAAAATGACATTATTATTAAAGTTATTTGTTTTACTAGCATCATATATTTTATAGTAAAAATTAAAGAATGAATTAGACTTAAGTATTTCATCATCTAATTATACATTATATAATTAAAAGAGTTCAAGTTATTTAATTATAATTTCTTATTCTGTCATTTCCAAAGTGTCTGATTGTTATTATTGAATATCTTGAATTTTTAATAAATGTTTAAGTAATTATTCACTCTTTTTAATTCTTATAACTCGTTTTGTATCTGAAAAATTCAAAAAATTAAGAATTTTTGGAAAGATGATGTTTTTAAGTGTGATGTAGTTTAGAATTGTCATTATTTTTTAATCTCTCTATTTAAATGTTGACTAATCAGAATTACTTCCAATTTAATTACTTTCAATTGAAATCATATACTTTTAATAAAAGTTTGTTCAAGCAATAAATGGAACTCAATAAATCATTCTAAAATTAATCAAACTAAAAATAAGAATGAAAATAAATTAGCAATAATCAAGAACTTCTATGATTGATGATTTGTAAAACATAAGAAAAAGTATTTAGTTGTATTTATAATAAAATAGACCATTTAATATTAATATTTACTAACTTATTATACTAATGATGCAAAATAAAGAAAATTATTCAATAATGTAATCTGCTAATGAAATTTTTGTATTTTTCATTAATAAAAATAACCCTTGAAATTTTATATGAGCTAAGAAAAGTTTAAAAGATATAAGTTAAATGTGTTTCAAATATAGAAAAACAAAATGAAATCTGAAGAAAGGGTTATTGTAAACACATCGTCAAATTTTAAAGCACTCTCTCCCTAACAATCTCCAAAGATTAATTCCATTCTAAATCGTACAAAACTATCGCTGGAAAGATCGCGATCCTCACATAGAATAGAAAATATTATAATCTAAAATAAAAAGAAGGTTTCCAAGAATGATATAAACAATTTCAATAAAACTAAAGATTTCTTTAATGACAATCCTAATTTATTAGAAGAAATGAAATAAGATATCAATTTATAGTTCTTAAAAGAATGTAAATCTAATAATGCAGGAGCTTGTCTATAACTATTAGAACCTACTATTGTTCATTAGGTTTGTAAGTTTATCAGTCTAATTTTTTAGTAAATATTTCGCCTTCAATTCCTATAAGAGCAGATTTAAAGGCAAATTTAAATATTTAAGATGACAATTAAAATACTGCATTACATATTGCAGTGAAAAATGGGAACGTTTAATTAGTCTAAGCATTAATTTATAAATAAATTAACATAGAGATTGAAAATTCAGAAAAGATGACTTCATTAATACTGGCTAGTTATCAGTATATTATTTTATTTTTATTTTTTTAAGTGGAAATCAAGAAATATTCTAAATTTTAATTAATGCTGGAGCATAAATTAATCATTAAGACATGTATGGTAATACATCTCTACATTATGCTTGTAAATTCAATCGCAAAGAAATTGTATCTATTATACTTAAACATCCAAATCTCATTTTTAAATCAAATAATGACTAAAAATATCCTGATTATTATGTTCATGATTCTGAAATCGTTCAATTATTTACTCAATTTTAATTAGAACATTCAAAATAAAGTAATTTCATTTAAAATTAAGATAGAAAAAAAAACAAAGGAAGTTTAAATACAAAATATATAAATGGAATATTATTGTAAATCAAGTAATTAAACTAAAAATTAAAGTAAATTACAAAATTCTCCTATTCATAATTTATCACTTGAAACTAAACAAGGAATACTTAAACATATAAGAAGTTATAATTAAATTAAGAAAGGTAAGGCAAATACTCCTTCTACTATTGATTCTATGAAATAATCTAAAAGAGAAGAGAAGGTTGGTCCTTAATAATTTCAAGTCTTAGGTTTATTAGGTAAAGGTAGTTTCGGATAAGTTTATCTTGTTTAAAAGAATAAAAAATTATATGCAATGAAGGTACTACATAAAAATATGATCTTAAGTAATAAATTATAATTTTATATTTTAAAGAATAAAACATTTGTAGATATGCAATTACTGAAAGAAATGTATTATCTGTAACATCTCATCCATTTATTGTGAAATTAAGGTATGCTTTTTAAACAGAAGATAAATTATTTATGATTTTGGATTATTGTCCTGGAGGAGATCTTGGAATGCTTCTTTGTAAAATAAAAAGATTTCCTGAAGAACTTGTAAAATTATATACTTGTGAAATCATTTTGGCATTAGAAGATCTTCATAAAAGAGATATAATATTTCGTGATTTAAAACCAGATAATATCTTACTTGATGCAGATGGACATGTTTTATTAACAGACTTTGGATTGTCTAAAGAAGGAATACCATAATCAAATAAAGGAGCATAATCATTTTGTGGTTCTGTGGCTTATTTAGCTCCAGAAATGTTGAAAAGATAGGGTCATGGAAAAGCTGTTGATTGGTATTTATTGGGAGTTGTAATGTATGAACTGTTAGTAGGATTACCTCCTTATTATGATAATGATAGAGATACATTATTCTATAATATTGAAAATGCAAGTCTTAAAATTCCTTAACACATTTCAATTGAATGTCGAACTCTTTTAAAATCAGTAAGATTATATTGCTAATTATATAGTTACTAGAGAGAAATCCAACTAGACGTTTAGGATCAGGATCAGGGGATTCATTAGAAATAAAAGCTCATCCCTATTTTGCAGATGTTAATTGGGAACTAGTTCTAAATAGAGAACTTTCATTGCCTAAACCTGATTATAGTTTGAAGATTAAAGCAATTGGAGAATAGAATATTTTTGATTTGTAAAGCTTTGTGGAATTTGAGTAATCTCATGTGAATGGATGGTCTTATGTTTAAACAGAATGAAATATATGTGATTATATTGATTAACTAAATCATTCAATATTATGATGGCTGTTTATCAGATTTGGCACCAAAGAATTTCAAACACAATTATTCAATGTCTTCTAAAGTCACTCTTCCTGTTCCCTTTCCTATTTTTAATAAATTTAGATACTATCTAAAATTCTGGAATATGAAGCAATGTCTGTAGGTGTTGGATTAAATCCTTTATTCATAGCTCTATAACAATCGCTTAACATATATCCAACTTCAAAAGAATCAATATTTCCATCAGAATTTCCATCATAAAGAGCAAGGATTCTTTAAGCTAATTATTTGCATTATTCTGGATCTAGAACTCCTCCAAAATTTACAGCATCTGTGATTTGGTAATGTGAGTATTTGATTTACTTATTTGGATCCATGAAAAACTGTTAATTAATTATTGTATGTAAATACTCAAATTCAAAATAGTTTTAGTATGGAATTCAATCCTAATGTTTAGGTAAATATTTTTCTATCATTTCCTTCTGCCAATATAATACATTATTCACAACATTTATTGGAATATCATAGACTTCAGGTAATCCTTCATGGAGCTCTGTTTTCTTTAAGTTGTGTAGTCTTGTATATTTATCTAAAGTGATTAATTACATTGAATGAATACCTTCAATATTTTCATATGAATTGAAATTGTTACAGAAACAATAATTAAGAGCAGCATAACCAGTTATTACAGTAAAAATTGTAGCTACAAAGAAACTAGGAATTGCAAGAGCCCAATATTTCTAAGGAAAGTAATGAATTCCTAATGACTTTTGATTAAATGATAAGAATGAATTACATGTAATGCTGATTCTGGTAAGAAAACCCATGCCAAATAAACTACAAAAACTATATAAGAGGCTATCCATCCAATGAATCCATATATTTCAATACTTTTCATAAATATATAAAAATAATATAAGAAAATCAGAGTAATTTAAACAGTATTTATTTATTTTGTATTCTTTTTTTGATCTCGCAAGGTAATAGCTTATCTATTTTCTCTAATATTTATTCTTTATTTAAATGTTTTATTTTTTTTATGCCATTTATTTTGATGTTATTATTTTTTATCCTTACGTAATTGGTTCCCTAAAATTTTATGTATTTTTATTATTTTTTTCTCTTCATCACAATTTAAAAACTAACCATTAAAACGTAATCGTCTATCTGCTATTTATTTTCTACATTCATATAGAGTCCTATTCATCCACATTTTCTTTTTTGCTCTATACCTTAATAAACATTCCTTGCGAATTATATTTTTATCATTTATTTTTTCTTCACCTTGAGATATTACAACCACACTGTCTAATTTAGATTCTTAAATGGTTGATTAAGTTTCATTTGATATGAGATAATTATTAAGAACATTCATTTTCTGTAAAAGTTATTACTACTATAGTAACACTAAATTTAATACAGACTATTTCCCTAAGAATTTTATTAACTCGTTTTTCAGCTCCTAACTGATCTATCCTAAATCATCAACGAATTGAGGATAGTTGTATAGATATTGCATTTGTTTTTCTAATTAATGTATTAGAAAAAATTAGGATTATTCGATCATTTTGAATCACAAAAACATTGTTCTCAGAACAAAATGCAATGGACCCCCTTTACTTTTAATTAAATAATTTTACACTATCCTTATTCTCAATTATATTAGCCAGAAACTTGAGACCTTCATTATATATAAAAATATATTCATTATTCAATTTCTCTCTTATGACCACATCCCCCACAATATTTATGTCCTAATTACATCTTGTTACCACATTAAGTACAAAATTTCAATTAGCTTTACAATTATATATCTTTCTCCTTTAAAATCTTTTTCATTTATGGCTATTAAGTGATTATAGCAGGTAAAACAGGTTCTAATTTCTTTGGTTTTAGTAATTTATCCTAATTTTTTAATTTTAGTTCTTGGTTTGACATAAAATAATTTTACTAAATTATTCTTTATTCGTCAATTTTTCACAAATAGGAATATGACGAAGTGCAGCTTTTTAATTAAATTTACGAAGACAATGTGGACATTCTGTATCTGACAAAGCAATTGCCCTTGTTTAACAGTCCATAAATCCTAATATAATCATTTTATTTTATTACCAAATCCTGTATAGATAGCTTTCTTTAATTCTGGTAGTTTTCTTTTCTAACCTTAAGCTGTTTTCATCAAACTTTAAGCACGAAAAGATTGCTTTGTTTGATCAATATTTTCATTCTAATTTGTAGTAGATGCAGTGCTTAACTATGTAGTTCTTTTCATTTCTTATTATTAATTTTTTATTGGAGGCTTAGGTTTAGCTTTAATTTCTTTACATTTAGGAATATGTCTCTCAGCAACATCTATTAATATTTGTATTAATTAATACATCTATCAAAACTACGTTTGCAATATTCACAAAACACATATTATGAATTCTCTATTAATTCTGGAGTTTTTATGGTTCTCTCCTCACCACCTTAATTTTGAACCTCATTAATTCATTCAATGTACTACCTCTTTTTCTTTTTTATTGCAATGAATCATCTCTTAAAATTATTTATGTTATTCTCTCCAATTATTAACTGTTTTATTTTTCATTTGTTGCTCCATAGCATCCAATTTCTATTATTATTCACCTTTCTATTATTATTTACGTTTTATAAGCTTTTCTCTTTCCATTTATTTTTATTAAGCCTTCTAACATACTTATCTATGTTTTCCAATCCTCTCCATATGAAATTTTCTTTAACAGGTTTCACATTGTTCCAATTCCCCCTCTACCTTCCCCTATTACTCTTATTATAAGTTCATAAATTCATTATTTTCATCTATACACTCTGAATGCTCAAATTATTCCTCATCATATTCATCCATTAATTATTATATATTACTTTAAATATCTAAAGAAATCATAAAAATAAAATTCATATATTTGCAATGTCATGCAATATTCTTATTTTTAAATCTTTTTCTTTATTACAAAAAGCATTAAATAACAATTAATCTGAATTTTTATTTAATTAAACTCATTTTTATCTATAATATCTTAACATCTTTTTACCTCTCAAATTTCATTTATAACGTTTATAATGAACAAAATATCATAATTACTCATTTTTTTATTTATATTTTTATATAATATATTTACTACTTAACTTAATAAATAAAATGCTAAGAAAGTTATCAAATTCTTCAAGCTATCTTAAAATATAATCAGAATATAGTAAATCTATATAATATGCTAATGCTACTTAATAATTAGACACAGTAGTCAAATTTTCTATAATACTAATAATAACTATAATAAGATGACATCAAAAATAAACCTTCCTTATTAGAATAAAGTTTATTTAGAAAAACTGCTCCACTCTAGTAATAGAGACTCAAAAGCCAAAAAATTAATTCACTTATTTTTGAAGAAAGATGCTCTCAAGTCCTCAAAGTATAAATAGAACAACCTTATCTAAATCATCTTAGCATTCTCGTTTGAAATAGAACATGGCCATACATATAAAAAGATTTCATTAATAAATCAAAACTACATATATAAACCATCTAGATAGAAAAATTAGAAGAGAGTAGCCTATCAGTTTCAAATAAATTTCCAAAACATTTTTAAGATAGTCTAGTCTAGTCTGGTCATTATGAAATCTAACTATATAGCCATAGAGCAAGAATACTTATTTAAAGAACATATTAAACTTCTAAAGAAAAACTAACAATAAATTAAAAGGTATTCTAGTTAATTAAAGTGTTGAGAAAACTCAATAAATAGCATTTGTTAAGCAGAATGAATTAGAAAAAAGAAGTAATAATTGGATAAGGATAAATTCATAGTATTGATTTTGATTATTTGACTCTGCATTAGTCTAGCAAAATGAAATAAATGAAATGACTTAATTTCTATTAAAAAATATGCTGATTTTGATGACATCGTTTATTTAAAATAGTTCTATATTAAAAATTACAGAATATAATATACTAATTAATGAAGCAATCATTTTAATTTAATTATTATTAAGGAATAAAGTAACAATTTTAAGTGAAGTGATTGATAATAATAAAAGATATTGTATTAATAATCTATAAGTTTAATATAAGAAATTTGTGAGATAAGAAAAAGAACAAGATTTTTTTTGAATAATTATTAATATTTATTTACATATCTAATTAAATTTTGGTTTTAAGTTAAAAAGGAGAATCGATTGAGATATGATTGATATTGATTATAATTTCATTTCATTTTATATTATTAAATGAGTTACCATAAAAGAATAAACATAAATAAAATTTGTTTCAAATTTATAAATGTAAGTAATACATTAAAATAGACATAGGAATTAGGAATGTAATATTATGTAAATTCTTTTTAGTATTAAATTTAAATTTCAATTCATATTATTAAGTAAGATGCAATATAATTTTTACATTAAATTAATTATCACAATTAAAATTTATACTATGATTTCTAGAATTCCCCTAAGACTTGTCAGATCATTAAAGCCTCTTAATATGACAACAGTTTGTGCTCCATTCTGTTCATAAATAGAAAAGGTCAATAAAGGTATATATTTTATATTAATGGATATTAGCTGGTTAAAAATTAGTGAAAATAGTTGAAAAAGAACTTAAATATGAGAAAACTAATTATGTTCCAGATGAATCAGCTTTAGAATTTGTTTAAAAAGCTGGATTCTAATTGATTGATTCTGAAGGAGATCATGAAGTGACTTTGGAAAAAAAAGTAGGTGACATTAAAGTCATTGTACAATTCTAATAAAGATAACCAAACTCTGAATAATAAGAAGAGGATGAGGTTGAAGAACAAAAAAAATAGAAGGAAACAGAAGAAGAATAAGAAGAAGAAAATCAAACATCTGATTATGCTGATTTCACTGTTTATCTTTAAAAAAACAATGGTTAAATATTATGTTATGAATGTACAACCTCTTAAGGCGAAGTAATATTTTCTTTTAAATTAAATAGATTAATGTCAATATGGTAAGTCTAGTGAAAGATTTAGAAGCACATAAGAAAATTCCTAGATTTGAAAGAGGTTTATAAGATTATTAAGGACCAGAGTTCATGACTTTAGATGAGGTATAGAATAAAATTAAATATTCTATTAGAAATTATAAATGACATTAGTAGAATATTTGAGAGGATATGGTATTAATGATGAACTAGGAGCATTTGTTGAACACTATTCTTTAGATAAGGAAGAGAGATTATACATTTAATGGTTAGATCAACTGACAACATTTTTGAAGAATTGAGGAAATGAAATCATCATTTATTGTATATTATTAGTCAATATTTTTGGAATAAAAATAAATATATATATAATTAATCAATTATTTGTAATTTGCAAAAGAAATATTTATTTTAATTCTGCCAATTGATTTTGAACATTTTATTTAATTGAAATACCAGTATTTGTAAGACTAAAAGTGATTTCATTAATTGCAATCATTTATGAGTTTATACGAATATACATAGTAACAATATTCTGACTTCTTGAACAATAGAAATTTCTTTTTATAATTTAATTAGGATAATTCAATTCAGTATACAATTTTTAAGTAGTTGGACATTTGTATTAAATAATTACATTCAATTATGATAATGAAGACTAAACATAAAATGTCTAAGATGTTTCACTTGTATAAACTAGACTCAATTCTTCAAATGATAATTAAACAGTAGGGAGAGGAGAATTATTATAATTTTCTTTTTAACTCACTCTAATTCCAGAAATGGCCATAGGTAAAAAAGTTTATGTTATTGATTTAACTATTGTTATATAAGTGAATCTTAAAGCATTAATAGGATTTCCAGACCCTTTAAAATATTATTACATAGTGTACAAGCTGCAAATGTATAATAGTTAGAATATTTAGTTAATCTAACTCCAAAATTTATTACAGCTGGCCAATTAAATCCTTATGTTGAAACAGTCCAGTCTTTATCTGTTGGAAATGTCATAGTAGAACTTGTATATGAGCCACTAGGTTATTATATATAAGTTGTTTCCATTACATCACTAGTTGTCAACATTATTTAATATCCAATTTATAATAGATTGTTAGTGTTGCTAACTATCTTCACTTTTACTTAAGTTGTTGTAATTTCTTCAATCTATTTATAAATTTAAAATATTACAGACAATACAATATCGACTCCTCCTTTAAATTAAAAAGATGTTATAAATAGTAAAGCTTTTGTAAAGTTAGGGTTGTTGTGAGAATAAGTGACATATTAAGTAAAACTTGCATAAGGTGAGCTAAGAATGTAATTGAATTCATTTATAACTTAAACTCTTTTATCATCAAAAGCATACCATTAGAAGGGCATCTCTGTAGCTCCACTTGAATATGGATTAGTCATAACAACAGTGAATTCTAAACTTTAGTTAAAAATATTACTTGTTGTTGTAATACTTGTAATAGTGGCTAAATATCCTCCTGTAGTTTAGTATTGTACATTGTATTTGTTAATAATTATGGCTACCTAAGGTATCCTTTCAAATGTTCCAGAGAAAGTAAATTCTTTAGTGTAAACATTATTTCCTGATGCACTAAATCCATTGTTCCAATCAAAGGAGGAAGCATATCCTGTATCATATTTAATGAAACATTTCACTGTTATAAATAGCAAAATAATTGAAATCTTCATTGATTTTATTATTATTTAAATTGAATTTAAATTCTTTAGATAAGATGTTAAAAGATAGAATTACTTAAAACGAATTTATATAAAGTTTATAAAATTTCAAATATTTATGATTATAATAATAAAAATAAAATTTAAAATATAAATATAAATAAAAATTGAATTAATTTACATTATTTATTCAGAGATGGTTTAAAAATAATCTTGCCTAATCTATGATTAATTTAATAATAATGTAAATATATAATTAAAATAATTTCTATTTAAGTTAACATTATATTATTTATTTATCTCTTTTCTTGTAAAATATATTTATTACAATAAATACTAATATTGATTGTATTATAAATATAATATCATTATTCAAGAATAAAATCTTAAGGAACTTTGAGAGATTTATCTAATACACTTTCTTATCCAAGATCCAAACTAGGTTTAACAGTGAAAGATGGTAGATAAGATTTTGCATTAATATTAATTCTATCTTCATTAAGATGATATGAATGTGGAAAGTACAAATCTCTTTTAATTTTACGATTTGGAAATAGATATGGAGCCTAAACAACATCATTATAAATAGGTATTTGAAATTCATCATTTAGATAAATATTTCTAGTAGACTCATTTCGTAAAGTAATTTAATTCAACTATTATGCTTAAAGTAATTCCAAAGCCTATTCTGCTGTCAACCTTTTTTTAGGATTATATTCTAGTAAACCATATAAGATTTGATTAAGTATATTACTGTATTAAGAAATAGTATGTTTAACATATAAGCATTTCTAATTTTTATTAATTAATTCTTTAGTTTTATCAGCAGTAAATAGAGGCTATTTAGTCATTCTAGATTATTTTAATATTTTTACATTCTATAAAGCATAACACCTATACCAAACATATCTATTTAAGGTGTATAAGAAAATCTTTCATTTTTATATTTATTTTCTTCATAATTTAGGATTTCTGGAGCAATATAACCAGGTGTACCACAAACTGCAAATGGATAATCTGGAGTATTAAATATAGCTAAACCAAAATCTATGATTTTAATATTATCAATAGAATTAGATTTAGAAAGCATAACATTTTCTAATTTCATATCTCTATGTATTATATTTTGTTGATGACATTTTCTGATTCCCAAAAGTAATTGCTAAAATAAAAAATAGAACAATTACTTATAAAATTGTTCTTACATTTTATTCTGGAATTTGATAGGATTGATTTTTAATAAACTTATGTAAGTTCTCACCTTCCAAGTAATCAAATACTAAATAATAACTATTTTCTCCTTCAAAAATCTCATTCAGCTTAATTAGATTTGGATGAGATTTTAATGTTCTTAATATATGTATTTCATTCACCAACCTATCAAATCTATCTGAAGTTCTTTTCTTTTTTATATAATCCTTACTAATGCATTTAGCAGCATAAGACTTATTTACATTATAATCCTTAATTAAGATCACTTTACAAGATGCCCCTGTACCTATGATATCATGTGAAGAGTAAAAGCCTGAAATTCCTTACATAAAGATCTTTGTTTAGATATATGTTTTCATTTGATTCATCTAAGCAGATTGACCAGTAAACCACTTTGTTTTATTAAAATACTTTATGCCGAACTCTTTAATTTTATGATCATCATGATGTTTCCAACTTACTTGATTTTTTAGACTTAAATCAATCTCATACTTAGGAGGATGTTCTAACTATGAGAATATCAATTTTATATACTATACATTCTCTCTGATCATGATCTTATTTTCAAATATCTATAGTTAATAATGTTTATCAATAAGCAAGTGTTTACGAATTACTTCACACTGAAAGATCAATTAATTGCTTTTATTTTGAATCTCCATTTATAATTTATATTTAATGAGACAAACAACTTAAACTAAAATTCTTAACTCATCTACATACAAATTCTTGAGTAACTTATAGAAAAAGATGTAAAAAAAAAAACTTAAATTTTAATAAGAATAGTAATAACATCACGAATGAAAAATGAATACAAAACTTTCACTCATGATAAAAATAAACATATTTAAAATTTTATGTTTGCTTACATTAATCAATATTGATGATGAAATATTTTTAATGTAAAAAAAATACTATATATTCCAGAATAATTATAAAGGATAAAACCCTATAAAAAAAGGTTCTTTTATCAAAATTAATTTTCATTATAATATTTGACTATTTTTAGATGACTTATCAATTTATATCACTCCTTATTTTTACTATATTTACCAGATAATTTTAATCCTTAAAATTTATTTTACAATATTATTATTTATAGAAAACTATCATAATGATCCAAATATTATTTTGTGAATTTTTGATAAATAAATATATTATTTTGAAACATAATTTGATGGAAATCAATTCATTCATTGTAATTGATCAAAGATCTTTTTTATTATGATACTTGTTCCAAATATAATTTTTAATTAAAGTAGATCTTTGCTAATTTTAACAATAATAATTTAATATAATTACTGAATAATCTATAAAAAATATATATAGATGTATAATATTTTGTAATATATACACTTTGACTATTATTATAAAATTATTTTAGTTTACTTATTTGAATATTTATTCATTTAGTAAAATTTATATTTAATTTAATAGCAATTTCTTCAACATACAAGCCTGAAATATTGTAATATCATTTTCTTTATTTAAATATATCATATAATTTATGTAATTATGCTAAATTTATAACAAATAAATTATTTCTAAAAAGATTATTATGTCTGAATCAAAAAAAGATTTAAAATTTAAAGATTATATCTTTGTATTAATTATATAATTCATTAATAATTTTAATGGCACTCAAAGTAAAAATTATACTCAGTATGATAGCATTACCTTTAGCTTTATTTGCTGCTTCAATTTTCTGGATTGTTTCAATATATTAGACAATTATACCATAAACCTAATTATCTGTGTAATAACTATCACTAAAATTATTAAATGAAACTTTATAAGTATGATAATGTTCTATTGTTTATAGTTTGAATCAAGAGCTCTATTTTTTGTAACAAGAGTGAATTAATCAATGTAATTCAACAGTCCTTTTATAATAAGAAATGTAATATTGGATCAATTTACAAATAACACTTTAAGAATGCTTGAATAGACAGATATACATCGTTTAGAACTTTTTCTGGCTCCTTTATATAAATCTCATAGATTAGAATGTTTTACAATTTTATGTAATGATAAATAATAATTCTTATCAATGGGTGATAGTAATAAATAGTTTATAAAGGAATTTATAAATTGGAATAGTCTTTATGAGGCAAACTTAATAATTAAAGATGATTAAATTAAGATAACTATAGGAAATGATAAGTACTATATTTATTTATATATTAGTTGTAATATTCAAGTTTATTATGGATTAAAAGAGTTTATTATTAGTATGTTAACAAATGCAGCATTTATGACTAATTAAGTATAATCAAGAGCAGTATTGCTTGATGCTGATCCATATGATATTATTTGGGAAGAAAATAATGAAACGAATTTAGCTAAGATTTTAGATGTAGATAATTCTAGGACATTATAAATTTTAAATTTCCATAGATAAGAAGATGAATTTGGATGTTTAATATATGAACCTTAAACAATCTTCTATGAATCAGACACATAAAATAGATTAATAAAATATATACAATTTTCAATAAGTGATCTTCATTACTAATGTAATGAGTAATATAGTGTAAAATTAACTTATATGATGATAATATCTCTAAATCAATTTCATTAACATTTGGGTACTTAGGATCTTAATTATGATAGACTTAACTATGCTACTAATAGTTATGCTTGTCTTGTCATTTTATTGATATTTTATTTTTATAGAGTTGCTGTTAAAGTTGGATTATCATTTGAAGTTCCAATTGAGAGAATAATAGAAATAATAAATGAACCATATAAATTTCATTATGAAAATTCAAATTAAAGAATAGATTTAAGACAATAATTACATAATTAAGAACTTTTATAACTTTATGATTCATTGTTGTTATGTGTAATTATGCATCAATTTCATTAAAAATAGCAATTATTAAATAATAATGATAAAGGAGCAGAATATTTATAAAATTTATGTTAAATTAAATCTTTTTATAAATTCTGTTAAAATAAGTGGATGGTAAGTGTTTGTGGTAATAATATGGCTATGATTCATTATAAAAATAAAAGATATTCTGAAGCTCTTAATCAATTAGCTGAATCTATTATGATAGGTAATAAAGAATTAACAAGTTTGAAATAGATTGAAAAATTAAGAAAAAAAATTGAAAGAAATCATTTTGGAAAATCTATTTTAAATAGATTATAATCCTATATAATTAATAAATTTGCTGGAAAATCTTCTAATATTATTGATCAAGCAAGATTTAAATCTTAAGATGAATAAAATAGAGCATGTCTCTCTATGTCTATTCATAAAAGTATGGCTCTAAAAAATTCAATTGAGGATAAATAACAATGTTATCAATCTATTGGTTAATAATAAAGTTAAGAATATAGATAAAATTATAAAAGAGACAAAGATTAATTAACATTATGTTTATTCTTTAGAAAATATGCTTACATTATTATTTTATTTAAGTTTTGTATAAATTCAGATTCCAAACTATTTAATGAAACTATTCAAAATATTAAATAATTAGAAGAAGAAATTAATTAAAAACAAAAATGGAAAAAAAGTAAATATCTAACACTTATGAGAATTAAAGCATAAATTAAATTATTTTATTGTTATATGTAATTAAAGATGTATGAAGCTGCTTAAATAACTAATTAATTTTTATTAGGACAATATGACTATTATCTTGGATTAGAAGATGATTAAATAAACTATCATATAGGATATAATACATTCGAAAATATTCCTATTAGTTATTTATAAGTTTAATTAACATTATAGAAAATAGTTTTAATGAAATTTAATAATCAAAATTATTAAGCTGCATTAGAATCTGCTTACTTATTTTAAAAATTAGATGATCAAAATTAAAAAGTATCCTTATAATTACTTAAGATATTAGAAGAGATATTTATATAATATTAATTAGATAAAGATTTGATCACAATTTAAAGAGAAGTCATATATTAAGAATAATAAAAAGTAATAATTTTAATTGATTACTCTAAGACTATGGCATTTAATTAAATTTAAATATCATAGACTTATTGTAAATATATTCTTTAAAGAGTATATAAATCAACTTCAGTTGGATTATATTTATTTAATGAAACTCTATTTGAAGCTTTTAAATTATAAAATTAAATGTATGCATAAGATCTATATTCATAAATATTGGATAAACTCTTATTACCTCCAGGTGGAACTAGTCAGTTATTTGAATTTATCAAATAAAGTGTTAAACTATTTCGTATATCTGATGAAACTAAATATGAGAATTATTTGTGCTTATTCACAGAGTTTTAATCATAAAATATAGAAGAGAATTTTTATGAAATTAGAAATCTATTGCATTTCAATAAAATTAAATTAGTTGTTTTCTAAATTCAGAATTCTAATAAAAATATATAAATTGCTTAATAAATATGTGATTATTGTAATGGTATTTTGATATAAAATGAAAGATAAATAACAAGTTGGTTAGATTCCTTAGGTCATAGAAAAGTATAACATAGCCATTACTTTGAATTTTGGTGAATTTAATTTATTATGTATATATTAAATTGTAACTATTTATTTTTTAGATAATCAATCAATAAAAAAATATATATATATTATTAAAATAAATTGTTTATATATTCACTATTATTTTTAAATATGAATAATTCAGATTGGATTATTAAATTCAATGATTCTTTTAAAAATTTTCTTTCTGGGAAGATTCCTGAATAACGTCTTGATTTTAATGAAATTCTTAACTTAAAAACCTCTATTTTATAGATATATTTGATATAGGAATTTATGATTCACATCTCTTATGTTTCTGCTTCAATCTAAATTGTTAGAATTATAAATATTACTTATTCTCTTGTTATAGTTCATTTTAAATACCATCCTATTCTAATTGAAAAAATGAGTGTTTTCTACTAGTATCATCCTCCTCTTAAATGATCTATTTAGTTTAAGCTAAAATTTTCTATCAGAATAAGTACAATACATCCTTATTCTTTAAATTCTGTTTTTTTGTATGGAATAGTTGTATTATATGATTATAAATCTATTTCTGTTTAACTTAAAGAATGTGTTATTTTAGATTTTCTTCTACGTTCAAGACGCATTTAGAAAGCATCAGTTTGAGAAGCCATTTCATTTTGTATCATACTTTATATTTATTTAACTTGATTAGTGTGATTGTTAACAATTCCTTTAACTTGAGCCTCAATAAAAAATGTGAAAATTATACCTCTTTAGATTCTGTTTAGCTGTAGATTAAATCAAGTTCAATACGTTTTGATTCTTCTTCAAATTTAGCTCTCTTATTTATAATTTATTCTTTTGATAATAGAAATTCTTCATTTTCTCTTTAAGTAGCAAATAGAATGAGAGAATTGAGTTTTTTTTAAAAGAAAAAACTTCTTTTATCTTAGATAGATTCATAATATTCTATTCCAGTCTATTAAAAATAATAGTAATAATTACCATATAAAGAGAGATTAACTATTATAATTATGAATGTTAATTCTATTCATTAATATCAATCTCCATTTCTAATTTGAGAATTTGATCTGCAAAGTTTTATGGAAGACTTTTCTTAGAGTAAAAATCTGATCCAAATTTGAACATTTAATATTTTTATATATTAATGAAATTAGGTACTGTAAGAAGTTTATTTGAGTTTAGAGATACAACAACAGAGGGAATTTTAGAAAATCTCATAGCCTCTGTAGGTATGGCATATGTAAGCGATAATATATAGGACAACTCTAAGGATTAGGACTGCCTGATATTTGTATAATTAGTAAGAAATAACCTTTGGGAATGTTTAAATCAGGATTTGATTAATGGTCAAGTTTCCATTGTGTATTAGGGATTTGTCCAACTTCTTAGGCTGAAGTTTCAGCTTATATTCAATCATTAATGATGAATTAAGAAAAAGACACTTTTTCTAAAATATTTGGAAGTGATGTCATAATTTATAAGGTAATTTTAATTTGATTAATAATTAGATCACTTACATAACATATGATATCTTTTCAAAGATTCTTTTAGTTTGTTAATTTGAATAGCCAAGTGAAGGGTTATCTTAGTTTAAAAATTATGGAATTCAATAAAATAAATAATGTATTCAATTAACAAAAAGTCATTGGGAAGGAGCACATATTAGTGGCATTTTAAGGATTATAGATTCCAATTTTAAAATGCCTAATATTGGTAGATTCTATAATTAGACTAGTATAAACAATCCAAAATTTTTATAAAATCTCATATCAAAATTGTTATAAAAAATATCAGGTTTAGATAATTAATTTTAAGATCTCAACAAAATAAAATCAAAATCTGAATTTCCTCCTCTTAATGATATAATGTTTTATCTTAATTGGCCTTTAAGTCTTTTATTCAATTATTTATACAATACATGTTAATTAGATTTATTACTTGAATAATTCAATAACTTAGAAGATAATATTATCTTTAAATTAATTAAATCCTTAATACACTACAAGATGAAGTAATATATAGTTTGATTGTAGAAATTACAATAAAAGTTTGAACGAATTAATTAAATTGTAGGATTCCAACAATTGGTTTAATCTTCCCAAATTTATCATGGCAAATATTTTTATAAAACAAAATAATTTTGAGAAAGCTTTTATTTTATTAAAAGATTTAATAGTGGAATGTTATGAAAATTAATCTATTTGGATAACTATGGTATTAAAAATATATTTAATAAATTAGTCTAAAATATTTAGAAAATAAAAGTTATTTCAAATTAGTCTAATATTCTTAAATAGAGCTATTTCTTTGCCATAAAAATAGACTGTGAAATTAATATGGAATGAAATGAATTTAATCAATTATAGACTATTAACTCAAAATAAGACATTATAATTTCCTTCATAATTAGATTAGATATATAAAATTGTACATCCTTTAACAGCTGATAAAATTGAATGTTATGTTCAATTATGTGGATATCCAAGTATAGATAATTTACTAGTTCGACCTAGATTAAATAATAAAAAGGATTAGAGAGTATTATCTTAATTTAATTTCTCATAGCATACAATTGAAATCATGTCCAAACACTTTTCAAGACCAGAATTTAAAGTCAATTAATAAACTTATGATATTTTAATGCATAATGAACTCTTAGAAATAGAAAGTGAATTATCTAATATTCTCAAAGAAATTATTAAGATTTAATAAATAGTAGGATACTAAAAATTAAAATCTTATATCAATTAGTATTTTTATACTTCAGCAAAAGTAATCTAAAAATAAATTGATTAAATATATGATCCTAGTGAATTTTAAATTGCCATCAAAAATCAAAGAAATTTACATTTAAATGTTAGTTAAATAAGCAATACTAATGTATTATTATTATCTTAATAATTTAAGAAAAGCATGTGTAATCCAAGACTCTTAGAAGACATAGATGATTGTGATTCTGATGAAGAATAACCAGAATTTCTTAAAAAATAAAAAATGAATAAATCATTTGATTTTACAAATGTAGGTCCTAAAATGTATTAAACTCCTCAACATAATAATAAGATTTCAAAATCTCCATTAAAATTTACAAGTATCAAAAAGAAATAATAATAATTAAAAAAAGCAAATACAATAATTATAGAAAATGCTTTTGAAAGTATTGAATCTGAAAGATAAAACAAATAATTTATTACAATTGTAAATAAAGTTAATATTTAATAAAATGAAATGATATCATAAGCACCTAAATCAGGTTAAGATGCACAACCATAAAGATCATTTATTTATGGTTTAATTTCTTACTTGAATTAAAATTTAAGTTAATAAGAATAAGTTTAGATGAATGAATAATTAAAAAGAAGAAAAGAATAAGTTAATAATCTCTTATCTGGAATGGTGGAAACCATTAATAAAATATAAACTGAACTAGATTCATTATTTTATCCTTCTCAAGAATAAAATAAATAACAAAATAATTAATAAAACTCTCAAATAAATTAAATGAATGTATAATAACCAGCAAATTCATCAACACCTTTATTTAAGTCAAATCTAAAGAAGGCTTTATAGAACAAATAGCATTTAGGTGGATAAGTAGAATTAAAAGAATTCTATATTGTACATCCTTTAAATGAAGATGAACCAGATAAAGAGAAGACATATATATCTTTTATTAAAGCAGAATCAATGTTTTTATATAAATGTGCTCGTTTAGCATAAAAATTAAAAAGGAGTGATTTAAGCTATTCTATCTTATAAAGATTAAGTAGTAAAATTATATCAGTATAAATTACAGCACTCTTTTTTAATATCATTAAAGACAACAATAAAATGCTGATTAGATAGTAATTATTATTTATAAATATATTTATAGAATTTAAAAGATGTTAGCTGATTTTCAAGAATGTGGAATTAGTTAAGTAGGATTTGTACCTATATGGTTAGAGATGAAAATTGTTAAGATGACAAAGTAATATGGAGCTAATTAAATTCTTGCATTACTATCTTCATCAGAGACTGACTTTACATTTTATTTAATTAAAAAGATCATTCTAACAACTGATAATTTAATTTGATTATTTAAACTTAATTATTGAAATTTATTTATGTATTAAAACTACTTCATATTATAACAATTTAGAGTAGATATTATGATATTTGATAATATTATTAAAATATTTTGATTTCTTTATTTAATTTATATACTATAATAATAATAACGAATACATAAATGTTAATATTAAATAATCTATCTCATAAATTTCTAATATTTTATAATGATGTTTTCTAATTTTTTAATTGTTATTACTCTCATAATTTATTTATTGAATAGAAATAAATAAAACTTTAAATATTATTAATAATAAATGAATTCCTTTTTGGAGTAACCATTTCAATATAGATAATTAAGATCTATATCATTCAGTCCTTATAATGATAATAACTTCATTAAACAATTAAAGAGATAACTTCATTATCCACCTTAAAAAATAATGTAATTAGAGTCTTATGAATATGTGTAAATTCCAGAATAAGATGAAACAAATATTATCAGTTCAGGTAAGTGTGTGCTTTGATAAGAATATAGATTCCATATAACATTACCAAAAATTAACAAAGGATAGAAAAAATTCATTAAATGTTGACTTAAATCCAATAAATTTAAAATAAGAATAAGCATAAAGTGCAGATATTAATTAATATAAATTAAATGTACCAAAATTTGTAGTAGTCAAATAATTGAATTAGAAGATAGTCAGAAAAAAGAAGAAAAAGATAAATCCAATTAATCCTCAAGATTGTAATGATGACGACATCTAACAATAGACGATTGTTTTAGAAACCAATAATATGAATACCGAAACGGAAACTAAAAAAGACAAAATTTCCTTCTTACCTGAAATAAAAAAAAAAAAATTATAAATTGAAGAGTAGCCAATATAGAGATCAGCAAGATATCAATAATTAATGGTATTAAAATAGTTATTTAGAAAAAATCTGTTGAAGATTAATTTGTAGAACTTTAATCCTTAATCAAAAAGATGTAAAAGTAACCAATAAATAAGAAAGAAAAAAGAGTTACTTTTCTTCTCTGAAATATGTAGCTTTTTGTTTTTGAATCATAAATTTATGTACTTAAGTGTTTGTATATAAGATGATATTTCTGTATAAAATATAAAATTTGTTGTTAATTCAAATAAATAACATATTATCATATAGATATAAAGAAAGGGGAGAAAATTAATATATACTACAATTAATTAAAATTAAATTTATATAAAAATTAATATTATTATATTCACTTTATGAAATTAAATACAAGCACATCTAGTGCTCCATTCATACCATAAAGACCAGTTAGTTAAAATTCATCATTTGTTTAAGGAAGAATGTAAACTCCTCCTAGAGTAGCACGGTTTGCTGATACATCACCTCATGCATCTTTCGAATTTGAAGATTTGAATTCATTATCACTTGAAGAAATCAATAGAGAATTAGATTAGAATAGTATGTATATTTTTAAGTAGTTAATGAGGTGATCATGTTGCTTAATAGAAGAAAAAGTTTGATTTTAAATAAAAAGAGAAGACTTAAAGAGGAATTTTCAAATAAAATTGCTGAATTAAAGAGATATCAATATGAAGATTATGTTTAAGATTTACAAAGAATTGAAGATCCATTGATATAATCACTTATGCAATAAAAAAGCTTACCAAAAATGCAAAAGTTATTAGGGAATGTTATGAGAGATTAACAAGATCGTAAAGTTATGGAATTAAGTAAATCATAAGAATTTTGGTAACACAATAAAAATGTTGAAACAGAAATTGACAATCTACTTAAAAAATTGAAATATTTTGATAATGAACTTGAAAAAGACAATAATGAGATATATGAAATTTGTAGATAATTAGATTCAATTGATGATAATATTAGAGATTTACTTATTACTAAAGTAGATGACAATGTTTAAAGAGCAGAACCTTTATTTGCAAATAAATAAAGATAATAATCAATCCTTAATGGTAAATTGAATTAGAGAAATAAATTAAAAGATGAAAAGATGAATTTAATTTATAAAATTATAGAAGAATTATAAAGATTAAGAGGATTAAGATAAGAAAGGATAAATAAATTAAATATAGTATTTGGAGATGAAGAAAATATATCAAATTAGAATTTTTAAGGATTGTAAAATGTTTAAGGTTCATAATAGAATTTAGATTAACCTTAACCATCTAAGTTATAGGCTTATATGGATTTTATGGAATAATTTGATAATATAGCATAAATGAGAGATTAAATATCTNAGTAACCAATAAATAAGAAAGAAAAAAGAGTTACTTTTCTTCTCTGAAATATGTAGCTTTTTGTTTTTGAATCATAAATTTATGTACTTAAGTGTTTGTATATAAGATGATATTTCTGTATAAAATATAAAATTTGTTGTTAATTCAAATAAATAACATATTATCATATAGATATAAAGAAAGGGGAGAAAATTAATATATACTACAATTAATTAAAATTAAATTTATATAAAAATTAATATTATTATATTCACTTTATGAAATTAAATACAAGCACATCTAGTGCTCCATTCATACCATAAAGACCAGTTAGTTAAAATTCATCATTTGTTTAAGGAAGAATGTAAACTCCTCCTAGAGTAGCACGGTTTGCTGATACATCACCTCATGCATCTTTCGAATTTGAAGATTTGAATTCATTATCACTTGAAGAAATCAATAGAGAATTAGATTAGAATAGTATGTATATTTTTAAGTAGTTAATGAGGTGATCATGTTGCTTAATAGAAGAAAAAGTTTGATTTTAAATAAAAAGAGAAGACTTAAAGAGGAATTTTCAAATAAAATTGCTGAATTAAAGAGATATCAATATGAAGATTATGTTTAAGATTTACAAAGAATTGAAGATCCATTGATATAATCACTTATGCAATAAAAAAGCTTACCAAAAATGCAAAAGTTATTAGGGAATGTTATGAGAGATTAACAAGATCGTAAAGTTATGGAATTAAGTAAATCATAAGAATTTTGGTAACACAATAAAAATGTTGAAACAGAAATTGACAATCTACTTAAAAAATTGAAATATTTTGATAATGAACTTGAAAAAGACAATAATGAGATATATGAAATTTGTAGATAATTAGATTCAATTGATGATAATATTAGAGATTTACTTATTACTAAAGTAGATGACAATGTTTAAAGAGCAGAACCTTTATTTGCAAATAAATAAAGATAATAATCAATCCTTAATGGTAAATTGAATTAGAGAAATAAATTAAAAGATGAAAAGATGAATTTAATTTATAAAATTATAGAAGAATTATAAAGATTAAGAGGATTAAGATAAGAAAGGATAAATAAATTAAATATAGTATTTGGAGATGAAGAAAATATATCAAATTAGAATTTTTAAGGATTGTAAAATGTTTAAGGTTCATAATAGAATTTAGATTAACCTTAACCATCTAAGTTATAGGCTTATATGGATTTTATGGAATAATTTGATAATATAGCATAAATGAGAGATTAAATATCTAAATTGGAATAAGCAGAATAAGCCTTATTAAATGATTTAGATAGATTGTATAGAGAAAGTGATCAAGTTTTCAGTGAATTAATTAGAAGAATATCAGAGGAAGCCAAGACATTTAATGAATGGACAGAAAATCTTAAAAAAAGGATTAGATATATAAAAGCAAATGAATATTTCTTTTCATAAACTAATTTACCTGAATAGTAAAATGGATTACTTAATTCTTTACAATTAGATTTGAAAGAAGTTAGTAGAAAATTTAAAGAAAATATGAATTATTTGAAACCATTAATTGAAGAAGATGCTACAATTAGAGCAGGTTTAGAAAAAACAGGAAGTACTATATAATAATTTAAAAATATGATATTGTATAATATTATTATTATAATTTTGTTAGGGCTATTTAAAATGAAAAAGAGAGGAGAAGAGAATTACTTTAAATTTTAGAGAATTGTGCAAGATTAAGATAAGAGGAGGATATGTAATTTAAGAGACGTTATTTTTAGGAAAACTGAATAATTGAGGAATATTGAATTAGAAATAAATAAAAAATTATAATAGAAACGTAATTTAGAAGAAGATTTAGATGGAGTATTAGGTGATGCTGATTTAAATACATTTAAGAAAATAGGTATTTTAATTAAAAAATAAGATTAGAATCTTTATTACATGATTATGATTAAGAATTAGTTCATTTAAATAATTAAAAAAGAAAAATAATGAAAGAAATAGAAGAGATTAATTAATCTGTTATTAATTTATTAGCAAGAATAAAAAGTGATTATGATGATATTCTAAGAGAAATATTACCAAAAGATTGGACTAATACATATGATTTAAAAAAAATTACAGATTTAAAAAGAATGAAGAATTACTTAAAAAAGACATTTAAACGTTTTGGTATAATGTCAGATTGAATTCAATATTATTATATTATAGTGATCATTTATTCATACCCAATTATGATTAGGTTCTTCTTAGTTTTTACACTACATCTTAATATTCAGATTATTAATTGATAAACTTATTTAATAATTCATTTCTTAATAATCTTCCTTTAATATTTCCTTAAAATAGTTCTTATTTTGTAGAAAATGATACTATTGATACTTTATTATGACTTTTATTTGTAAGTAATTATTATTAAGATCTATTAATACTTAAACTATTCTATTATAGAGTCATTTATTTTTCAGGAGTCTATCTTAATTTGAAAAAGCGAGGATTTGCTAACTTAGCAAATCGAAAGTGTTTAGTACTAGTTTAATTAAGTTATTATTATTATAATTATTATGATTATGATGATTATTCAATAGATTATTCTGGAAATATTTTTTATAATGTCTTTTTCATCTAAATACTTTTTTAAGTCTATTTAAATTCATTTGTTCTCTTAGAAACAAAATTCTTTCGTATATTAGGTAGAATCCAATTCAAAAAATAAACTCCTTCAAATACTAGTACTGATCCTTCATCACTAATACATAGAGCCTGTGATTTTCTAGTTTAAAAGAAATTTACACATTCAAAATCACCTATCAATTATCCAGGTGTATAAATATTAATAGATTTTGTAGTAGTATCTGTTGTTTCTCTTAATTCAAAGATTCCACTAATTACTAAAAATACTTATGATGCCTTTTAATTTTGATTATACAATATATCTTAGCAACAAAGATGCTAGGTAAAACTGTTGAGGAAAAATTGCTTTACTATGGTAAATGGCAATGTCTTAAAGAGATGGAATGCATATATCTATTAGAGTAAAACATTAATTTTGGATATCTCATACGTTAACATATTGATTTTGAAATCTAACTTGGAAATTACGGCTGCTTTACAAACAGATTTGGTCTTAACAATCAGGTTTGGGCTTGCTTCCTAAATATGGAATACATATCTGCATAACAATCATTCCCAAATACAATTAAACAAGATCCAAAATGTTTTGTACACAATAATTCTTATTCATTTGATTGGACACTCATTTCTCCAGTTAATAAAATTATTAATTGATCCTGATTTTCTCTACCCCTCAAATAAATTATTTGATTTTTTTTTAATTGTTCAAATTTCATTAGCTATCATACTAAACTATTTTATACTTAGCAACATTCCCATAAATAATCTTAAGAAGAGTTTCCTTTAAAATATAAATGAGATCTCATGAAATTCATCAAACGCTAATTGTCTTCATTTGTACGTCTTAGCTCTTCCATCTTTAGAACCCTTATACAAGACATAATGATGTTTGGATTTCTAGTGATGTGCTAATCAAGCCTTCTAATATCCTCCTCATTTAAATCTGTCATAGTACCTTAATTTTGCATTAATAATAATAATATAAAATTCATTTCAAGTAAGATAATTTTAAATATAGATTTTTTTTCAATTACTTGATTATTATTTGATCTAATCTTCAAAATATAAATACTTAATTAATCATTTGAACATTTTATAATTTTTATTTTAATAATGGATAGTTTAATAAGAATATCTAATCTAAATTTATGATTTACATTTTATTTTATTAACTTAAGTATATTCCTATAATTCAATTACTTCCATCTTGACCATATTTTAATATATCATTTTATTTCTTGTATTTATGACATACAATTTACTTTTGGATAGAATTAATCAAAGCTTTAATTTACAACTGTTCAAATTTAAAGATAGCTTACCTTAATTAAGTTAGGGAAAATATAAAAAAGTTTTATCTAAAATATTTTTGATATAATTTAAATAAGTATAAAATACTTTGTTTTCTTATATATTTTTTTATAAATTGAAAGTTTATATGGAATATTTACTTTGAAAAATATATCATTATTTAATGTTTGTTAGAATTTAGTTATTTTCAATTGTATTCAAATTTATTTCTTAATTCTAACATATTATATTCAATAATAATTATCATTTGTGTTGTGTAATCTTTAAAATTATTAAAAATAATAATATAAATGAATATGAACTAAAATTAGGATGAGTGCAGTTTAATAAAAAAAATAGAGAACCTTACTCTTATACGTAAACCTCATTATATCTTTACAAAATAAGAGAACAAGATTTCAATTAATAAAATTGACTTAAACACACTTTTGAAAGAACTATTACGAGATGATTGAGTTATTTGATTTCACTTCAATAAATATATATAATTTGTTGAGAAACAAATGAATTGATAGAACTCAACAACAACTATTTAGTTATTTTTTATCATCTTCTGAATTTTGAAGTGTGTTTTTATTTTGAGCATTTGCTCCCTTCTTAATACCACAATTCTAGTTATTTATTATTATTATACTTCATCACGCAAATCAATTTATTTGCTTTTTAATTTTTGTATGATTTCTTTAGCACTAACAATAAAAGCATCATCAATATGATCTCCTGACTTAGCACTTGTCTCAATAAACAAAATATTTTATTGCTTAGCCAATTACTTTCCTTCCTCTGTTGTTACCTCTCTCATAGACTCAAGATCAGTTTTATTACCAACCAAAATCATGCTCATTGTTTAATTTCCATTCTATCTTGCCTCTTCAATCCATGTTTAAACATTATTAAATGATTCCTTTCTATAATAATAGAAATAAAATCATATACTTTGTGACATCATAAACAATTAAAGCACCAGCAGCTGATCTATAATAAGTTCGAGTTATGCTTTTAAATGCTTCTTATCCTGCAGTATCCCAAACTTATAATTTAATGTTGAGATCATCAACTTCTATGGGTTTTGCACCAAATTCTACACCAATTGTAACTTCATGTTTCTATCGAAATCTTTTATCTAATAATTGAAGTAAAAGACAAGATTTGCCAACACCTTTTTTAAGTATAATATTTTACCTGAGTCTCCTATGATGATATATTTAAAAAGAAAATCGTAAGACATAATCAGAATATTTTAAAAATTTATTATTAATATTAATCATTATCATTTATTCTAATAAGTGTGATTTGTTTTCATATAATCAAATCAATTTATATGGAAAGACATTTTGTAGATTAATATTAAATCTATATATTATACTTAATTTTAATTTACATTAGGTGAATTAATTATAAAAGCAATTAAAAAGAATTCATAAACGACTAATACTTTTTATAGTGTCTTTATATATTTAGAATAATTGATATAAATAATCATTAGTGTTTAATAATATTATAAATAAATAAATTGTTTTATATTTAATCTATTCTATTAAAACTTGTTTAAAATCATCATGAATTTCAATAAACATATTATTATTTAATTTTTCTATTTTCTAGTATTGTCCTTAAATAGAATCGAAAACTATAAAATATTACCATTAATAATAAAATTATTAATGAGTATTTATTTTTGTAAAGAAATAATATGGATCAATAAAAATTATTTAGAAAATATAATTCATGGTTAATTTTTCTGATGCCATAATTATTAGAATTTTTTAATATTTTTTTCTTGTCTTCTAAAATATCTAATAAAATAACAATATTTTGTAATATTAATACATAAACCTAATTTTGGCTAATTTGTAATTTTGGTAATAAAAGTAAAAGAATCCAACTCCTACATGTGTTTAATTTAATATTAAATTAGATATTTTTATATAACAATAAGAATAGGATAGAATCTACATTAATTTAGATTAATTCCATTTTTGATTTTAATTTGAAATCAATTTGTATTTAGAAGTACATATAATAATTAAATAGATGATTTCTTTATCTATTTCTTTAGCGTTTCAATGAAATAATTTTAGATAATACATTAATTATATAATATTTTTAGAAATTTATGAATAATTTATCTTTTGATGATATACTTTCTACAAGAATAAAATTTGGTAAGGTTTAGATTTAAACTTTCCTTATAATCAGTTTAATTGATTTACTTGATGGATCTGAATTCATGTTTTTGCAATTATTGAATGCAATAATTTATAAGGAATGGTCATTAAGTTTGAGCTAATTGATCGTTTTAGCAACAGTATTCAATTTTGGTCAATTTATTGGTTCTTTAATTTGTGGTTAGTTCTCAGACTATACAGGACGTAAATCAATGCTAGTTTGGTCATGTTTACTTTAAGTATTAAAAATTTGTAATATTGTTCATAGCAATGCTTCTTACAGCATTTGTGTAAGATTTACCATAATTAATAATATTAAGGTTTTGTTTTGGATTGCTATTTGGCATAGCATTGCCAATATCATCAATATTAATGGCAGAAGTGACTCCTCTTCATGTAAGAGGATAATTTATTGTTACTTTATAAATGATGTATATAGTTGGGAGAATGTGGATGTTATTATTAGCCTTCATATTCTTAGATTCAATAGCAACAGGAAATTGGAGAGCCATAGCTGTTACTAATAGTATTCCATGTTTTATATGTCTAATTGGTAGCATTTTATATTTACATGAATCACCTCGTTTTCTTATATCTCAAGGAAATATTAAAGAAGGAATTGAAGGAATTAATTTTATGGGAAGATTTAACGATAAGGATTATGTTGATTTGTAAGAAGATGAAATTTAAGCACTTTAATAATGGAGAAAAGCTACATTTGAATAATAATATGATAAGAAAAGTTTTAAAGAGTTGTTTAATCAAGAAAATTTACCAATCACATGGAGAGCATATTCATTAAGTATCATCTCAATGTTGATGTATTCTGGACTTTATATCATCATACCATTTCTATTTGATGAAGAAGAAAAAACTTTACTTGATTTATTATACACTGTCCTAATAGAATTGCCAGCAGTGTTAGTTGTTGTTTTTTTGATTGACAAAATTGGAAGATTACCTATAGTACTTATAGGAACAGTAACATCTATGATAGCAGTTTTTATAATTTGGTATTGGAGAGCCAGATATCTATTGTTAGGTTTGATTGCTTTCAAATTTTTTAATAGAATGACTTTTCTTTCATTCACTCCTCTTATTTTAGAATCCTATTCCACTATCTATAGATCTTTGGGAATAGGTACAACAATTGCTTTTGGCAGAGCAGCAGGTTTCTTATCTCCAGCCATAATATTACCATTATATTAAAAAGATAATTATAGTCCTTTTTTAGCTTCAATTTTTATCTTGATAATAATGACAATCATATTTGCAACTTATCCTAAAGATTTAACGAGAAAACCACTTGATATTAAATATGAAAAAGTGGATTGAGATAAAGAATATTTCATCTATAAATGTATATGTTTTGGATTTTTAATAAATATTATATAAACTACTATTATATATAATCAATTGTCTTTTTCAATATTAAAATTTTATTATGGCATTCTTAAACAATTTTCTATTTTATTGATAATATTTACCTAATGCAAATTTAACATCTTAAAATGCAAGTTTTGGTTTTGTATTTTTTAGATCATCATTTTATGATTAACGCTTTTAACTCACTCTCATAGACTCTTCTAATAATTTATTCATAAATTCATTTCCAATATCAATTATCATTTATTTAGGTTTTTCATCAAATTAAACAACTTCTTCAAATCCCATTTATTTTATTAGCATATCTAATCCTTTAGAATCAAAGAAAATTAACTCGTCATTTTAATTAGCTTAAGTATTCTATCCCTGAGTTTAATTCATTAATTATAAATTAAAATAAAATTTGTTATATAATTTATTTCAAACTCTATTAAATCAAACCTTAAAAATTACAAATAAATCTAAAACACTTAATAATAAAACTCAATCTATCTTTAAATTATGATAATATTATTAATCATGAAAAAAAAAAAGAAATGTTTATATATAAATTATTATAAATAATTCGAAATTT